TGCTGTACATTATTGCTGTTTACAATTTATCTCTATCTATAATAATATTCAAGATAATAACCAAAAGCTGAAAAAATATCTAAAAATTACCAATTCAGGGGCAGCAACCCAACAACGGGTTGCCTGAATGGTCTGAAAATTTAAGGGCAGATAGATCTTGACCTAATGAACAATTTTGTTTTGGAAAGATTTGCTCGAAATGCTTTGGGTTTAGATATACGAGCCAAAAACTGCATTTTACCCTATGTACTATTATTAGCCATGTCGGCCATCTTGGTTCGCAGTCGGGGTCATCAGACACAATTTTTAAACTACATACCCTAATGATGATTGTTTACAACTTTGGTTAAATTCATCTTAGTAGTTTCAGAGGAGAAGATTTTTGTAAAAGATAGGGCAGATAGATCTTGACCTGATAATCAGTTTTACCCTATGTCAGATTTACTCTAAATGCTTTGGTTTCAGAGATATAAGCCAAAATCTACATTTTACCCCTATGTTCTATTTTTGACCATGTCGGCCATGTCGGTTGGAAGGCGGGGTCATCGGATAAATTTTTTAAACTAAATACCCTAATAATGATTATGGCCAAGTATGGTTAAATTTGTCTCTGTAGTTTCAGAGAAGAAGATTTTTGTAAAAGATTACAAAAATTTACGAAAAATTGTTAAAAATTTACTATAAAAGGGCAATTACTCCTTAAGGGGTCAACTGACTATTATGGTCATGTTGACTTATTTGTAGAACTTACTTTGCTGAACATTATTGCTGTTTACAGTTTATCTCTATCTATAATAATATTCAAGATAATAACCAAATACAGCAAAATTTCCTTAATATTACCAATTCAGAGGCAGAAACCTAACAACGGGTTGTCCGATTCCTTTGAAAATTTCAGGGCAGATAGATCTTGACCTGATAAACATTTCCCCCCCCCCCCCCTCAGATTTGCTCTCAATGCTTTGGTTTCAGAGATATAAGCCAAAATCTACATTTTACCCCAATGTTCTATTTTTAGCCATGGTGGCCATCTTGGTTGGTTGGCCGGGTCACAAAACACATTTTTAAAACTTGATACCCTAATGATGATTGTGGCCAAGTTTGGTTAAATCTGGCCCAGTAGTTTCAGAGGAGAAGATTTTTGTAAAGTTTACGGACGACGGACGCCAAGTGATGAGAAAAGCTCACTTGGCCCTTTGGGCCAGGTAAGCTAAAAATGCTTGTTTTTTGCCCCTTTTTGGCCCCTAATTCTTAAAATTCTGAGGCAATTACCCCCAAAATCCATCCCAGCCTTCCCTTTGTGGTATGGTACCTTGCAGTACAATTTCAGAGAGATCCATACACTTGAACACAAGTTATTGTCATGAAACTAGAAAAATGCTTGTTTTTTGCACCTTTTTTGGCCCCTTATTCCTTAAATTTTGAGGCAATTACCCCCAAAATCAATCCCAGCATTCCCTTTGTGATATGGAACCTTGTGGTACAATGTCAGAGAGATCCATACACAAACACACAAGTTATTGTCTGGAAGTTACAAAAATGGTTATTTTTGGCCCCTTTTTGGCCCTTAATTCCTTAACTGTTGGTACCATAACCCCCAAAATCAATCCCACCTTCCTTTTGTGATATTGAACCTTATGGTAAAATTTCATAGAGATTCATTCACTTAAACTAAAGTTATTTTGCGAAAACCAATGTGTCTTCGGATGACGACGATGACGCCAACGTCATACCAATATACAACCGCAAAATTTTTTTACGGTCGTATAAAAATTAAAGGCAAAGGAACAGTGTTTTTATTGACTTTTGATGTAAATATAAGCAGAAAATTCAAGGGAAATGTTTTTGTCCATGCATTCTCACAAATGTTTTTGTTTTTGATACCAGAGGACTAAAAATACAGGATTTAACTTTCACCTTTCTAGTACAAGAATGATCTGTGAGAATAGTGAAGAATTCAATAGGTTTTTTTATGATTAAAAGAATGAATATGCACCAATGAAGTAACTCATAGCTATCCGAAAACATAATCAAGTGATTTTTTTCAGTGTCATTCATACATAATTGACAATAAAAAGAAATTTTCTAGCAAAAAATAAACCTTAAAATCAACAATTTTATGTAACCTTCACCTTAGACATTCTAAGTGACTGCAAAACCAAAAGGGAGGTCTGTCATCTCATGGGGCATTACAAAATCAAATTTGAAATGAAGTTACACAAAGTGTATCACAGATGAATACATGAAAGATGTCTGAACAAGCTGTATTAAAACAACAGATGAAGTTACACAATTCGTATTAAAGATGAATACATGAAAGATGTCTGAACAATTAGCTGCAATAAAACTTCAGGTGAAGTTATACAATTTGTATCAAAGATGAATACATGAAAGATGTCTGAACAAGCTGTATCTTAGGTCCGAGTACACAGTTATTTCGTAGTGCATTTCTTTTAGACAATAAATGAAAATTAAAAAAATCCCACCTGCGCTTTCTCAATAATATTTTTACAGTGTGTTGTACTACTTTTGGGACAAATTATATCAAAATTATAGAAAACTTCATCGGCTCTAACTCAAAATACGGACAATTTCATGCTAAGGGGGTCTTCAAATCTTTTGACAGCCTCCGAAGTGCTAATTTTTAACATTTTTCAGCTGGACCAAATCACTACTTTACTTTAAAATTCATGGCCCAAATTTTTTTACAGTGTCATTTCACCCCCCTACTTACTATTTGAGTCATAAAACATGGGGAAATAAATTTGGAAGGGGTATAAAAAAAATCGACAAGTAACACACTGTCCACACTAGGGACTATATTCGTGGACAACGAAAATCAAAGGACGATAACTGTGTACCCGGACCTAATAGGGTAGAAAAAGTTGACCAATCTTAATGAAACTTGGTATGACCAAAGCTTATTAAATTATAAGACTGCTTACAAAGTTTCATGGCAATAGGATATATATTATAGACAATATGACTAATTCTATATTCAACTTTGAGTGTTAAATTTAGACGTTAAAATTGAAAATTTTCAACTATCAACATTTGGGGCTTAAAAAATTAAAATATTACAAAAAAATACTTTTGAAATGCCTTAATATATAATATATTATGTATTAAAAGCAATAGAGTACTCATTTGATTTATCAGACTTATTATGATTATTAAAAAGTCAAATTTATATGAGCCTGTGGCTAAAAATGGAGGTTTTCCAATGAAGGGGGGCCTTACATGAACTTGATGAAGATGTAATATTTTCCAGCAATTTTAAATTTGTAAAGCTTTTTGGTTATAAATAATCCTTACATATGTATTTAATGTACTTTAAATGGAAAGAAAACTTACAAATAACATATCACATTAGTTTAAAAGGGTCTTAGGCCAAGTAAGACTGAAAATAATCTAGGGTCAATTTAGGCCGTATCACATATTTACATTTAAAAATGCATATTGAAGCTATATAAAATAAAATTTTGTGTCTTTTCTATCATTTCTATACTCAGGTGACATGATATAATAAATCTGAGCACAAAAAGACTCTTGCATTCAACTTTTTTTGCAGACAGTATGGTCTGATACAAAGATTTTTCACTTTTTAGTGAAAAACATGCATGCAATTTTTGTCTCAACAGGCTTATATTTGAACCACTTGCTATCCTACAGAAGAAAAGAAAGATATTATGTGACATAAAACAGGTACAAAAGACATTGTTAAATGCTTTTTATACAAATTTAGTGAGGTCTAAAATGGACTTCAACTTTTATGTTCCAAGCTCCTCACATTTAACTTGATCCAAACAGGGCGTTAGACGAGGACCATATATACAACACATTTTGCACATATTGTCTGAGATAATCTTCTTTTCTGTAGATTCAGAGTTCACAAATGAGTAATACAACTGGATTGAAGCATAGAAACCCAAATATTGACACATAAAAACCTGTCAGATAGAAAGTCAGAATGCCACTTATGCATCAAAATTGAAAAAGCTATGAAATGCTTATTTTGACCATAAAATGCCAAAATTGGTCATTTTTGCAGAAATTCTATCAAATAAAAGTTTAAATCCTTTAGTTTTATGCTATTTGATAAATTGACACCATCAAATCACTCAGGGAAGTTGCCAAAGTACAGATTCTATATTTCCTGATTTCACCTCTTAGGTCCGAGTACACAGTTATTTCGTAGTGCATTTCTTTTAGACAATAAATGAAAATTAAAAAAATCCCACCTGCGCTTTCTCAATAATATTTTTACAGTGTGTTGTACTACTTTTGGGACAAATTATATCAAAATTATAGAAAACTTCATCGGCTCTAACTCAAAATACGGACAATTTCATGCTAAGGGGGTCTTCAAATCTTTTGACAGCCTCCGAAGTGCTAATTTTTAACATTTTTCAGCTGGACCAAATCACTACTTTACTTTAAAATTCATGGCCCAAATTTTTTTACAGTGTCATTTCACCCCCCTACTTACTATTTGAGTCATAAAACATGGAGAAATAAATTTGGAAGGGGTATAAAAAAAATGGACAAGTAACACACTGTCCACACTAGGGACTATATTCGTGGACAACGAAAATCAAAGGACGATAACTGTGTACCCGGACCAACTAAACTACAGGTGAAGTTATACAATTTGTATCAAAGATGAATACATGAAAGATGTCTGAACAAGCTGTATTAAAACAACAGATGAAGTTACTCAATTTGTATTAAAGATGAATACATGAAAGATGTCTGAACAAGCTGTAATTAAACTACAGGTGAAGTTACAAAATTTGTATTAAAGATGAATACATGAAAGATGTCTGAACAAGCTGTAAATTAAAACTACAGGTGAAGTTATACAATTTCATCCTTTAGATCATTTAGTGACTTTGTTGTTAATTTACTTAAATATTAGGAGATAAGAGTCAATTTGCCATTATTATTTATCCTATCTTTTCACATTTCTTCATTAACTTTGAACTGTGAACTGTTCTTACCTTAATGGTGATGGGCTTCTCAGTCTTTTCTAATGATAATGTTTCAAAGAATTGTGTTTTCTTTGGATTGTAAGGTTCAAATTTCTTGACTCTGTAAATCTGGAACAAAATTATCCATGTTTCAATTATATCAGGATAGATAATCTACATTTCATGAAACCTTAGGGAGCAATTTCAAATACTCTGTGTTCCAACTTCTATGTAGGAGGCAACTGATATAGGCAGTACTCCTTAGAAGAGGCTTTACTGAAGAGTAAATATTTTGATAAAGAAACACATACAAGGAAAAGGGAGTTGATGACCAAATGCAAAAGGATATCAGACAAAGAAATACAAAAACTGCACTTAGTTGCATGGTGTGTTTACTTTAAAAAAAATTAGCAGTTTGGTTCAAAACCCAGTATTGGGCTCCGATTTATCAACCAGAAATCTCTTTTCTGCTGTGATTTGGGTCTGTTTTTAGAATCTTTTGATTTTTACTTAGGAGTTAAGGCCATGTAAAATCATATCCAATCATTTCTAAAAAAAAAATTGATGAGGGAGACAGGGCATTCAAATTTTGTAATTATTATGTTGTTGATATTGAAAGGTTTCTTTTAACAGTCTATATGTATTCATGTCAAAGAATAAGATACCAAGGGGTGATTAAAAAATCACAAAATCTAAGTAAACACAACATGGTTGCAATATGGAGAAAAAAAATAAATAGTCCACAAACATTTCATTAAAACCTAACTTCTGAACAACACAAATATAATACATAACCAAGAATGTGTGTGTTGCCTTTCTAAAAGTATACAATTTGTAACAATCTGATAGATATATTGTTGTTATTTCATTAATGTGGTATGCATAATGCAATATAAAACTTAACATATCAAATCACCACAATGCTGTGCTGAATGTCAGAATAAATTTATGTTCATAAAATAAGTTAAGATGAAATTAGCATCTTAATAAAATCATAACATTCTATGCTATGCTCAAGATCAAAAGTTTTGAAACCCCAAAACTGCCTAAAGAGAACAGCCAAACTTTAATATCAATTTATTCCTTGGATTATTGTTCTTTAGAAATGCATCTTTTTGTATGTTGAATATTCTTAAATAAACAGATAAACTAACTGCATCTTTCTTCATGCTCTATTCAGATGGCTTATTTTGACAAGCTGTACCTTGACAGCTGTCAAAACATGTAAACTTATATATGGTAATATCTACTGAAAAGTTCAGAGACACCACTCTTGTTAAATTAAAAGTCATGTCAAAGTCTGATGTTTGGTTGTACAAATGAAGCTCAAGTACTATGTTCCCAATGTTTTATCTCAAAGTGTATCTGGAAGTTAGCTGAAGCAATCGCAGTGAGCAATTCCCCCCCCCCCCCCCCCCCAATTGTACTGATCTTTCACAATTGTGTCATCTGTTAGTTTAATGATGATCAAAGAATAGATGTATTTTTATTTCTGTTTACATTTTGCAAATGTGCAAGTTTACCGGAAATCTAAACTACCTACAAACTGAGGTAAAAACCTCATTCCTATGAACATGTTGGAGTAATCGCTCTTTGACTAGTTTAAACGGATTTTTTACACAATCTATTTATTTTGATTTGGCGATTAACACAAGGGAGCGGCTGGTTTTTGCCTGACGCGGATGTGTGTCTGAGAACCAGAAAGTTAACTTTACATGGCCTAACCTTAATATATGTGATCATATATCCAAGTATAATTCCATTCTTAAGTAAGGTTTTCCAAATTAACAGACAAACTGGCTGATGGACTGGCAAACAGACAGACAGGTAATACAATTAATACCACCGCTACTTTCTAACATTTGTTATGATTACTTGTAATACATAAAACAAAAGAAAAACAGTCATTGTCGAAAAATATCAGACAGTATAACAGACCACACCGTTACAATCAACTCCTCTAAAAAAAATAGACTTCAAATAGCCTTTGAGACACGATTTTTATCAAATGGCAAAGAAAACAAATTCTTCTTATTCACTTCTTTTCATTAAAGGTTTCGAAATGGCCCCCACATGCCCATTGCCCCTGTAACAGCAGAATACCATTTTTCTGAAGCTGACTGCTATTCAACAGCTACACAGTTTTGATTATCATTACTATGTTGTTTTGTTGCATTATTGTAAAACTGACTGTCAGGGATTTAAAATCTAAGATGTAAAATTTAATAAAAGCAAAAAAAAATCAGATCAGGTAACCTAGTTTTGAAAACAGACTTTGAAGTTTTTCCATACAATTTAACATTATTACAGGTCACTTCAAGTTGAATTTCACAAAACTCTTACAAATAAGTGTAATATATTGTCCTCTGCAGTAATAAAGTTATAATGAGTTGCTAAATAATTACAAGCTTACAACCAAAGCCATGCATACTATTAACCAATTTTCTTGCAAGGGGTCAATTCAATTTAATTTTAACAAGAGGTGTTTATAAACAAATGGAGAATGTGTCTATGGGCCACAGATGCCTCTGTTTGTAAATACGCATGAGTCAACTTCCACATACAGATGCAGGATTCACGTAGTTAAGACCATTATGTGATTATAAGCATTGCATTTATAAAGGGGCATAACTCATGAACGGTAAAAGTGACACCACCCAATTTCAAACTTGATCTGTGTTTTGTGGTAATAAGAATTGTGTATAAGTTTGATAACATTTGGTTGAGGCAAACTAAAGTTAGAGAATGGAAACGAAAAATTCAGCAATTTTTATGTTTATCAAGGGGAATAACTCATAAATAGTAAAAGTGACACCACCCAATTTCGAACTTGATCTGTTTTTTGTAGTAATAAGCATTGTATATAAGTTTTATAACATTTGGTTGAGGCAAACTAAAGTTAGAGAACAGAAACAAAAAATTCAGCAATTTTTATTTTCATAAAGGGGCATAACTCATGAACCGTAAAAGTGACGCCACCCAATTTCAAAACTGATATCTGTCATGTAATAATAAGCATTGTGTATAAATTTTATAACATTTAGTTGAGGAAAACTAAAGTTAGAGAACGGAAACCAATTTTGGGGACGGACGGACAGGATGGACAGGATGGATGGACGGATGGGACGGACAAGGGTAACACCTAATGCCCCCTCTGCTACGGTGGGGGCATAAAAATATTACATGTTGTAACTAACTCAATAAGAGCTAGGTAAATCTAAGATAAAGTCTCCTAATGTGGATTCATTTATTTTCGTGGTTATTATTATTTTTGTGGATTGAGGAAAACAAGTTTTTCTGTGGATGCTTGATTTCTTGGTTTTGACTTAATCTGCATACAACATATCAGACATTTGTTTTTCCTTGAATACTTAAGTTCGTGTTTCACCTTTTAAAATAAAATATAATGAATCCACAGTAAACTGTTGCCTGTGAGCAATATAGATTTAATTTACATTGCTAAAATGTATCAAATAGAGTTCCCGACCAGTTCCCAGAAAATTAGTTAACACATTTACTGTTTCAGTTGTAAAACTAGCCATACTTTATATAATCTTCATCAATGATGGCAAGAGATTGACAACACCATATGACTCTAGTAGTTTACAATTATAATATAAACTTCCATACCTGTGTTCGAGAACCTGTTTGAATTGTATACATAGTTATGTTAGCATTCCTTTTTCTTTGTTCAGGAGTAAACCAAGAAAGTCTTGCTTTACATCCTTTATTTTCAAGGGGCGCTTTAAATTCTACTGGCTTGCCTGGTTCTGAAATGTACAATAATATACAAAAATTATTACAAATCATTAATTTTACTATTTTAAATACTATTGGGTGCACTTTAATTGTTAAATAAACTGTTAACACAGAGATATGTCTCGCCTATTTGTTATTTTGATAATGCAAATGTTGAAATTAAAATAGCAATACTTTAACATGTAAGTTATGCAAATATTCAAAGTCAATGAACAATGACTGAAGGTACAGGCTAGGGCTAAACAATCTCCATGGAAATGAGATGTGCCAATGCTAATACAACTGCAAACCAAATACCATTGACTTTTCATAAGTCGTTTCCTTTAAACAAACCTAAACACAAACATTAACTTGTAAACTATGTAAAAGTTTCAAAGTCAATGAACCATAATTAGGGGGTGGGGTTATATAATCTCCATGGAAATGAAACTTGCAAATGCCAATACATTTGCATTACGAATATCATTGACTTAACATTAGTGGTTCATCTTAAACTGACCTAATCACAAACTAATACATGTAAACTAAGCAAAAGTTTCAAAGTCAACAGACCATGACTGAGGGGTAAGGACCAAATATTCTCCATGGAAATGAGATGTGCTAATGCTTATACAACTGCATACCAATTATCATTGACCTACCACTAACAGTTCCCCTTAAACTGACCTAATCACAAACTAATACATGAAAACTAAGCAAAAGTTTCAAAGTCAACAGGCCATAACTGAGGGGTAAGGACCAAATATTCTCCATGGAAATGAGATGTGCTTATGCTTATACAACTGCATACCAATTATAATTGACCTACTACTAACAGTTCCCCTTAAACTGACCTAATCACAAACTAATACATGAAAACTAAGCAAAAGTTTCAAAGTCAATAGACCATGAATGAGGGGGCGGGGTCTAATAATCTCCATGAGATAGAAATGAGATATGCCAATTAATGCTTATACAACTGCATACCAAATATCATTGACCTACCACTAGTGGTTCCCCATAAACTGACCTAATCACAAACTAATACATGTAAACTAAGCAAAGTATCCTGCTTTGGTATTGAGAGGACGGGGTCAAATAATCTCCATGGTAATGAGATGTGCCAATGCTGATACAAGGCCGTAGCATCCATTGAGGCAAGTGAGGCAAATGCCTCACTAAAAAAATGACCAAGTATGGTATTGATGTTTAAAAAAAAATCATTTATATATCCAAATAATGAGCGATGACCAAAACTAATCCTAAAAGACGACGGGTACGTTATTTGATTGCAATCATCGTATATAGCCCGGTAAATTAATTGATTCTGACTAATCGTGTCTGGAATTTATCAGTGTCAGTTTCAGTATCCGAATCAATAATTATCAATAGGTCATGAAATCGAATGTGATCAATGAACGTTAAACATGGATCTGTGGCTTAAAACAGGATCTTGTAGAAAAAGAAGCAGTGCAGGTATTAGTTTTAATAAAATATGAGTGATTATGTAGGGACTCAATGACCAGGCATGGCCGCAGGGTCCCATCCTAATAACTGCAACTCCCGTTATTTCTCGGAAATTCTGGATCTGCCATTGAAATCAATAAAATAAAAAAGATATAATGTGGCGGGGTATCACTTAATATTCCATTAATTTTTCTGACCCGACCTCATATGTCGACGGGACATATAGTGGTACCCTTGTCCGTCCGTACGTCCTTCCGTCACACTTTGGTTAAGTTCTTGGTTTAGGTCCATATAACGTCAAATATGCAGTACGGGATGGTCATCCTTTGTCTCATAGATGCAGTTTCTAGTTGTTACTTTGGCCCTGACAGGTCCGTACTAAGCAGAGGCCCGAGGGTAATGTACGGGACGTGTTATCGCACCCTTTTTCTTTTCGAAAAGTGTCAAAAATTGTATAATGAATTCAATAGTGTTGAAAACCAAGCAAATCGTAACCCCGATTCATGTTATTTTCAGATCTTGATATTGACGAAGAAACTGAAAGGTGTGCAACAATCCAAATGAATCTACCGAACGTCAAGACTCGGAAATTCGACTTGCCTCAAAGCAAAATATCGAATATTGAAGTACCTGTACATAGTTTAGCTTCTGAAATAATAAGTTCTTCAAATATTGATCCTGATGATTTTTCAAATTACACCAAAAAATCGTTATCTGAAAACGGAATTATCCAGATTTTGAGTTCTAGAGATTTTGGTAAAGAAATATCAGCTTATCCAACTACTAAGGCACGTAAATACTCAAAAGAATGGGAAAAGCGATACAGTTGGCTGAGGTATTCAGTTTCGGAAGATGCGTCGTATTGTTCTTATTGTGTTTCATTCGATGGGTGATGGGCTCTTTAAAACAAAAGGCTTTAGTGACTGGAAAAATGCGGTTGGCGAAAAAAAGGGGACTTTTAAAATACATGAAATAAGTAAAATGCATACAGAAGCCATGGAAAAGTCTGAGAATCTATTGTCCGTAAGTCAAGGTGAAAAGGCCAATATTTATAGTAGCATCAGTAAAGCGTATGAGGATAAAGTTAGTTATAACAGAAAAGTGCTTCTTTCGATTATTGATGTTATCATCGTGCTAGGCCAGAGAAATATAGCGCTAAGGGGTAATTGGGACAAAAAACTTAAGAAAGAAGATGGAAACTTTAGGTTTTTTGTTGATTGGAAAGCTAAAACCGATGTCGTCTTAAAAACACATCTTCAATCACCTGGACCTTCTTATTTGTCCCCCGACATCCAAAATGATATCATAGCCTGTTGTGATGCAGACATCAGGGAAAGGATAGTGGCCGACTGTACCAAAGCAGGATACTTTGCAATTTGCGCTGATGGTACAACTGACGTGAGCGTCAAGGAGCAAGTGTCTCTTTGTATACGATTTTTAGATCACGAATCAGATGAAATCCGAGAAGAATTTATAGGATTTGTAGAACTTGCGGCTTCCGATGCTAGAACAATGTTTGAAAAAATCATATCTTTTATGCAATCGTGCCATCTTGACATAGCAAAATTAAGAGGCCAGGGCTATGACGGAGCTAGTGTTATGAGCGGTCATGTCCAAGGCGTTCAGGCGCGCGTCAAAGAAGTTTGTCCAAGGGCATCATACGTCCATTGTCGATCACACAACTTAAATTTAGTTATTACCCAAAGCTGCAAATCGGTAAACCCCATTAGAAATTTATTTGACAGAGTTGTTCAACTCACATTCTTTTTATCTGCCTCAGCAAGTCGTAAGAATATATTAAAGGAAGAGTTAGGAGAACATTTTGATGAGACAATATTAGAAGCCATCGTAGAAGAAGATGAGGAGGATGAAATTGAAGATAAAAGTGCTGAACTATTAGTAAAGTCTAAGAAAAAAATTATTCAGCCGTTAAGCGAAACTCGTTGGAGAGCTCGTGTGGATACTTTGACTTACCTAATTACTAACTACAGTTCTATTCAAAATGCAGTCTCAAAGATAGAAAATAAAAGTTCAGGGGAAGCTAAATCCAAAGCAGGTGGACATAGGCGACTCCTAGATGATCCAGAGTTTGTTGTGGCTTTGTGCGTAACGCAATTTGTTCTGTCCTACTTGAATTGTTTAACGAAATCTCTTCAAAATAAAGATTGTGATATGGTTCTTGCATATGACGATGCAGCTAATACATTAAAGACCTTAAGACAGTTGAGAACAGATGAACACTTTAGAAAAGTATATAAGAGAGCACAGACAATTGCTGCTAAGCAGGAGATTCCACTTGTTCCCAGGTGCAGAACAGGCAGACAGGTCCATAGAGATAACCCAACTGTTGATTCAGCCGAACAATTGTGGAGGACAACTATCTACTTTGCGTTCTTACCATGTTTGTACCGAGATGAAGAGACGTTTTCCACATGACCAACGTCAGATGATGTTAGGCTTAAACTTGGTTCCATCAAAATTGGCAAATCTTAATGATACCATACAAGACGAATTGCTTCAAGTTTATTCCCCGGATCTGCCAGATGTAAATACATGGGAACAAGAAGTGACAAGGTGGAAGGTTAAATTTTCTGACATCCCTAAGGCCAAATTACCAGGTACACTCAAATCTTCTTTGAAACAGGCACATCAAGACTTTTATCCAAATATCAGACGGATATTTGTGCTACTGTTGACAATGCCTGTCACCAGCGTTTGTTGTGAAAGATCCTTTTCAGGACTTCGTAGATTGAAGACGTGGGAAAGATCCACAATGGGTGAGGAACGCCTCTGTGGACTGGCAATGCTTCACACTCACAGGGACAAGGATGTTTCACGGGAGGATATTCTTCTAAGATTCGATAGAACTGGACACAGAAAGATTGGAAAGCTGACATTTGACTAGAAGATTTCACTTAAATGAAATATAGGCCCTTATAAATGTGTGAAATTTTGATTTTTGGAAGAAACAGTTTAATGACCATAATTCTTGTCTTTATTTTATTTATCTTTTTTCTCTGACAGTTTTTCTATTTGCCATAATCTCCAATAATATCTACATATGACATAAAAATGCACATAACTGCGCATTTGTAAACAGTACCACATTTATAATTTACCAGATAAAGAGGTTCCAATTTATTCATTTTACACATAAGTAACCATATCTCCCCCCCCCCCCCCCCCCCTCAAGAAAAAAAATGTTTTATCACTTTTATGGCACATGAAACCCATATGATCGATATCACTAATATAGGCCTAGGAAACGCCCAGATAGCAGGATTTTGCACCATTTACCCCAAAGCCCCTGCCAAAAAGGATCTTGCCTCACTATTTAAAAGACCCTAGCTACGGCCTTGAAATATTATTGACCTACCACTAGTGGTTCCCCATAAACTGACCTAATCACAAACTAATACATGAAAACTAAGCAAAAGTTTGAAAGTCAAAAGACCTTGACTGAGAGGACGGGGTCAAATAATCTCCATGGTAATGAGATGTGCCAATGCTGATACAACAGCATACCAAATATCATTGACCTACCACTAGTGGTTCACCATGAACT